TTTCATATGGTTACTGTTTGCATTCTGTAGCTGTATCCATTCTTTTGCTTTCAATTAATTTCTATTTTTGCATTTTTTCCCTTAGTAGTCAATAATTACTGAGTGATTGCTGTATATAAACCTAAACCTGTTACCTCTCTACCTTTCCAATTACTTATTTTTTCTCCTCTAATACTTTCAATAATTGTAACAGTTGCAGCATAGTCTTGATGTTTAAGAAAATAAATTATTAGAAAATTTGTGTATGGCATACCACGTAATTGATGTGAAAGAATTCCATAATTTTAATGGAATATGGTTAAGCCCATAGGCCTAATATTTACAGTAGTTAACACACTGATATAAAATATTTCCTTAGTATTATAACTGCTTTCAGTTTATAAGACACCCCTATATTCTACTGGGAACATAACCTCTTATCTGTACATGGACAGTAGTGTCTTTAGTTATGCCGCCAGATTGATGGTGGTGGAAACCAAGGCTTCAAGCTCTCAAGGGTCATGCTCAAGCTCTGGAACTCACTGGTCCATGTGGTCACTTCCAGCACACCTGGGATGAAACCCCAGCTCCACTAATCACTCAGTCATATGTAGGACCACACCACCTCACCACCCATCCTCTAAAGAAAAGTGATCAGAACTTGTCGTATTTAAACCTTCTAGGAGAACGCAAGTGCACATGTGGTGGGGCTTTATCCTGAGCTGTCAGAGGAAGCTGAAGCACGTCTCCTGAGTTGGTGATCAGTCAGTCGTAGTCCAATGGCAGATGTGAGTGGTGAAAAGCAGCAGAGCTGATGGGTCATGAGGATGTAAGTGTATTTGAAGGCTCTCACACCCTCTACTCCAGGGGTTAGAATTCACAAAGTTGCTGGCAGTAATATTGAAGAACTGCTTGTGTGACATGAATGGCATTAAGAAATGAGGATCTTTTAGAATTAGACAATCACACAAAGTAGGTGCTTCCAGACAGAATCATTTAGCAGAGGACCTAAGATGGTGGAGGAGTAAGTGGAAGCTACATTAACCTCCTCCCAGGACCAATCTGGGATTACAACTAATTGTAGAGGAATCATCCTGAATAACCAACTGAACACTAGCTGGAGACAAACCTTATAACCATGGACAGAAGAAATCATTTCACTGCAATGAGACTGGCCCAGCAGAGAGAGCCACATACTGTAGATCACTGATAGCTCCAAGCAGGTTGACCAGGGCCAGTAACAAGAAGTGTCTAACAAGGGCTTACACCAGAGTCTTTGAAGATCTACCTAATACATAGAAACATATACAAAGAAGGAGCCAAAATGGGAAGACAAAGAAAAAGACCCCAGATAAAAGAATAGGAGAACTCCCCAGAAGAACTAGATGAAATGGAGGCAAGCAATTCATCAGATAGAGAGCTTAGAGTAATGATTATAAGGATACTCAACAGCATGAAAAAAGACATAAAAACCATAAAAAAGGACCAGTCAGAAATAAAGAATGCAATCACTGAAATAAATAATACACTGGAAGAAATAAACAGTAGGTTAGATGAAGCAGAGGATCGAATGAGTTTTAGCTTCATTTGTTTTGAAACTCTCTTGTTTGGTGCATACACATTTAAGATTATGTACTCTTTTTTTTTTAATATTTTATTTATTTTTAGAGAGAGGGGGAGGGAGGGATATAAGGAGAGAAACATCAATGTGTGGTTGCCTCTCATGCGACCCGTACTGGGGACCTGACCCGCAACCCAGGCATATGCCCTGACTGGGAATTGTACCGGCGAACCTTTGCGTCACAGTCCAGTGCTCAATTCACTGAGCTACACCAGCCAGGGCTAAGATTATGTGTTCTTAGTGCATTGATTCTTTATTATTAGGTAGTATCTTCCTTTATTCCTAGTGAGAACTGTCAGGTCATGTCTTACTGTGTTTTTTATGCTCTCTTTCTAGAAGATTTAGACTTACATTTCTTTGATCCAAGACAACCCCAAGGCCCTATCCAAAAAAAAAAGAGACAAGTAATGCATTGTAAATTTCCTGAGAAATTGGAGGATTACACTTTTTATCTGTAACACTCAATGAGGTTATCCCTGCCACCAACAAACATTGCTGGTTTATTTCATATGAATGCTTGCTGTATACAGCACTGTCTCTGCCTTCCCCTTTCCTTACTTTTCCCCCCTCAAATGCCTCCAATCATTTTAATAGTTTCATTGTTTAAGAAAAGAAACTATTGGAATAAAATTTGTGCATGTCATGTCATATAATTGAGATGAAAGAATCCTGTAATTTTTAAGGAATATGTTTGAGCCCGTAGACCTAATATTTACAGTAATTACCACACTGATATAAAATATTTTCTTGGGCTCTGGGTTGTGTGACTTAGTAGGATGGACGATGACCCACAAACTGAAAACTCGCCAGTTCAATTCCAATCAGGGCGTATGCCTGTGTTTCAGGCCAGGTCCTCGATTGGGGTGTGTGTGAGAGGCAACCAATCAATGCTTATCTTGCACATCAATATTTCTCTCCCTCTCTTTTACCTTCTCTTCTCATCTCTCTAAAAAGAAATAAAACCTTAAGTATATTTTATCGATTATGCTATTACAGTTGTCCCATTTTTTTCTCCATTTTATCTCCCTCCACCCTGAAGCCCCCTCCCTCCAATATTCCCCCACTGCTTAGTTCATGTTCATGGTTGTACATGTAAGTTCTTTGGCTTCTCCATTTCCTGTACTATTTTTAACCTCCCCCTGTCTACTTTGTACCTACCAGTTATGCTTCTTATTCACTGTACATTTTCCCCCACTCGCCTCCCTCCCCCTTCCTGCTGATAACCCTCCATGTGATCTCCATTCCTGATTCTGTTCCCATTCTAGTTGTTTGCTTAGTTTGTTTTGTTTTTTAGAGTCAGTTGTTGATAGTTGTGAGTTTGTTGTAATTTTACAGTTCATAGTTTTGATCATCATCTTTTTCTTAGATAAGTCCCTTTAACATTTCATATAATAAGGGCTTGGTAATGGTGAACTCCTTTAACTCTACCTTGTCTGGGAAGCACTTTATCTGCCCTTGATTCTAAATGATAGCTTTGCTGGATAGAGTAACCTTGGATGTAGGTTCTTGCCTTTCATGACTTTGAATATTTCTTGCCAGCCCCTTCTTGACTGTAAGGTTTCTTTTGAGAAATAAGATGATAATCTTATGGGAACTCCTTTTTAGGTAACTCTCTCCTTTTCTCTTGCTGTTTTTAACATTCTCTCCTTATCTTTAATCTTGGGTAATTTAATTATGATGCACCTTGGTGTGTGCTTCCTTGTGTCCAACTTCTTTGGGACTCTGAGCTTCCTAGATTTGCATATCTAGTTCCTTCACCAGATTGGGGAAGTTTTCCTTCATTATTTATTCAAATAAGTTTTCAATTCCTTGCTCTTCTTCTTTTCCTTCTGGCAGGCCTATGATTTGGATGTTAGAATGTTTACAGTTGTCCCAGAGGTTCCTAAGCCTCTCCTAATTTTTTTTGAATTCTTGTTTCTTCTTTCTGTTCCAATTGAATGTTCATTTTTTCCTTCTCTTCCAAATCATTGTTTTGAGTCCCAGTTTCCTTCCCTTTACCATTGGTTCCCTTTATTTTTTGCTTTATTTCATATTGTGTAGCCTTTATTTCTTCCTTTATTTTGTGTTCATACTCAATCATTTCTGTGAGCATCCTTACTACTAGTATTTGAATTCTGCATCTGACAGGTTGGCTACCTCCTTTTCGCTTAGTTTTTTATCTGGAGTCTTGATCTGTTCTTTCATTTGAGCCATATTTCTTTATCTTGAAGCACCTGTTACATTGTAAGGGGCAGAGTCTTAGGTATTCACCAGGGAGGGAGAACCCACTTGGCTGCTTTGTGGAGCTGCATGTGGGGGAGGTGTCTTAGAGGGAACAATATTGCTTTCTTTGCTCTCACCCTGCTTTCAGTCACTTTCCCTGCTACTCTCGAGCAAATTGGATACTTCTGGTGCTGATTCCTGGGTGTATGGATTTATGTACATTCCAGGACCCACTGTGTCCCTCCAACAGACTCTCCTGTGAGTAAAAGTTTCTCCCACTGCTGCAAACCCCCACAGGTTTTTACCAGCAGAGATTTTGAGGCTTTATCCCATGCTGGCACCCTGTGTTGTGCAGTCTGTCTTGCTCCCCAGTTGTTCCTCCCAGTTTATCTGCAAGCGAATGTGGGTCTTCCCAGTGTGCTAGCTATTGCCTCACCTGCTCAGTCTGCCAGCCACCGCCTTGCTGCATGTCCTCTCCACCCCAGCTGCCTGTCTCCACCCCTCCTACCAGTCTGGACAAATGTTTCTTCCTTAACTCCTTTGTTGTTCGACTTCCATACAGTTCAATTTTCTGGCAGTTCTGGTTGGTTTTTGGTTTTTTAAATGTGTTGTTCTTCTTTTAGTTGTGTGAGGAAGTGAAGCGTTTCTACCTATGCCTCCATCTTGGCTGGAAGTTCTAAATAAATAAAATCTTTTTTAAAAATAAATAAAAATAAAATATTTTCTTGGTTTTTATAACTGCTTTCAGTTTATAAGACACTCCCATATTCTACTGGGAACATAACCTCCATCCATCCATTGGTAGTAGTGTCTATGGTTATGCTGCCAGGTTAATAGTGGTAGAAACCAAGACTTGAGGCTCTCAAGGGTCATGCTTAAGCTCTGGAACTCATTGGACCACATGGTCCTCTCCAGAAGACCTGGGATGAAGCCCCAACTCCACCAATCTCCCAGTCGCATGTAGGACAACATCTACCTCACCACCCATCCTCTGAAGAAAGTGATCAGAACTTGTTGCATTTAAACCTTCTACATATTTTTGTCATCCTTCTGTAAGTGATTCTGAGAGTCCTTAGAGGGATCTCAAAGACCAAGACAAGGGAACTCTACTCATGATGTGACTTTACAGAGCGATGTAGTGGCTGCTATATTTTGTTACTAAATGGGCTTCCTTTGCTGTCTCTCCTCCCTCTTTTAGAGAGATGGGATCATGTCACCACCACAACCAGGAGGCCAGGAACTACCAGAGCTCCAGCAAAGACTACAGGTAATGCACTGCTCTGAGGAAGGCAGTAAAGAAAGACTCCATGGAGCTCCCTCTGGGGTAGTGTCCAAATGAGCTCTCTCTCATTTAACCATTTGATCTTCTCTTTTATGAAGAAAGAGAATTTGAATTGGCTGATGCTTTGGATGATCAGAATGATCAAGATGATGGCCACAGGAAACCAAGTGCAGGTGTAGGAGGTAAGTTGTAGGGGATTGAAAATACTGGCCAGCACTGTAGCTCCCTGATCTAGTTGTAGCTCATTAACTACAACAGTCCACAGAGCCACTCCTGCTTGGCAGAGCTGGGAGCACTTCAAGACATAGGAGAACTCTGTAACAGTGTTCTTAAATTTTTTTTACTCCCAAAATTATTGAGGATCTCAAGGGATTTTGGTTATGTATCAATATTTATCATCTTTGAATTTAAAACTAAAAAAAATATTTATTAATTAAAAATGAACAACAATAAACCCATACATGTTAGTATAAATAGCATATTTTTTAAGGCCATGAGCTTTTATTTTTTATTAATTTATTTTTAGAGGGAGAGGAAGGGAGGGAGAAAGAGAGGGAGAGAAACATCAATCTGTTGCCCTGTATGCACCCTGACTGGGGACCAAACCAACAGCCTAGGCACATGCCCTGGCCGGGAACAGAACCAGTGACTGCTCTGTTTGTGGGATGACACTCAACCAACTGAGCCACACCGGTCAGGGCTAAATAGCATTTTGTGAGAAATAACTATGCTTGGCAAGAGAAAAAAAGGAATTTAGTAAGATTTTTGTACATCTTTGCCAAGTTATATGATGGCTCTCTCAGCAGAAGAGCTAAAGTCCCACAGCCGGTTCTGGATTCACTTGTTATAACGTTGCAATGGTTGAAGTATATGAAGGAAATCTAACTTCAAATAAATATGCAGCTGGAAAAGAGAGGAATATTTTAAGAAACTTTTAAGATCACTGTGGACATTCTTTGATAAGACACTAAAAACTTAAACTCAAAGAGTGGTTGTTTCTTTTGAGGTTAAATGCAGTGTGGAATGTGAAACTGTATCAGTTAACTTCCCATAGCTGAATTAGAGTGGAACTTTTACCCATTCTTGATTTTGTACATTGTTCATGGGTCATTTGGAAAATATTGGTGTCCCCCAAGGTCTTTTGAACTTCCAAGTACTGCCACATTTCATTATGCAACACCCAAAATTCACTTTTGTTAGTGTTTTCATCCATCTCATTAGAAAAAGTATTGATTTATTTATATGTTTGTTTGTTTGTTTTTCTGATTGTTTTCTATGTGGGATGATTGATCTTGAGCCGGCAGGGAGCAAGCTGGCCCAATGGGAGCAATCGCCATCCTATTCATGGTCCTGCTCACACTCAAAGTAATGGGATATTATATAGGATGTGTGTACTAGTAGTAGGGAATCTTGGGGGCCATTTTAGAATTTTGCCTGCAACATTTGTCAAGAATATTCTTAAGTGGCAATCATTTTCTGGGGATGTTGGGCAGCATTAACTAATGTAAGTTTCTTGTCACTGAAAAATGTTTTTTGGCATTGAAATGTATATATTTTTTTCTCCAGGTTTTTCAGACAAGGATCTCGAATACATATTAGGAGGTGGTGACTACCAACCTGACAAGGGTAAAGGTAGGAGTATTGATCTGTCCAAGTACCTCATTCTCGTTCAAAATGTGATTATATGATCACTAGGTTGATTGAGCCATTCTTAGCCTCCAGGAAGGTAGTTTCTAGATATCCCTGCTTGCAGCTTGGGGTTCACTTGGAATGATGTGGGTTGTGAAGCTCAAGTAGGAGAGTTTATAAGACAATTTAGAAAAGCCACACATTTCTCCTGACGTTCATTAAGCCAGAGTGCTGCATGGGTTAAAGTCTGTACACTAGGAAAAGTTATTTTCCAAGGCAGCACAAGTTATAATAACTGACAGTCACAGGACTCATTGGGAAGATGTCCTCCACCTGGGGAGCCTATAACCCTTGGGATGGGAGAAGCAATAATCATTGTGACAATAATTTATTAAAGAGACCCACAACAAGCCAAACATCTTTTAAAATATCTTTTTACTTTTACATAGTTTAAGATCCACAGGAAGTTGTAAAAACTGTTCAGGGATATTCCTGTTTACCTGTCACCTAGTTTCCTCTATCTTATATAACAATAGTACATTGTCAAAACCAGGAAGCTGATATTGGTACAATATTGTTATTAAGTTTAAATTTCATTTATTTTTTATTTTTTGATTTAATCTTTATTATATTTTTCCATTACCATTTATATACTTTGTTTAAATTTTATTACATTTCACATGCACTTGTGTATGTGTGCACATGTGTGCATGTAGGTCTATTAAATTGTATCACAGGTGTAGATTTTAGTAACCATGAGGAAAATCAGGATGCAGGATGCAGAACTGTTCCATCACAAGGGAACCTCCTCATGCTAGCTCTTCATAGTCACATCCTCTCCCAAGGCCAGATATCTTTAATTCCCCAAAACGCCAAAGACGTAAACCTTTTTATCATAATGTATGTTAGGATTTGATCCTAGTATGGAGAGAATATTAGCCAGAATTGATATGACAAAACAGGTTATGGTTGCAATTTGTAATTGTTACTTATGGTTGTTACCTGCTCTGATGGTACATTAAGATTGCAACTTGTGATATGATGGTCAGTCATTATAACTATCATGATGGTAACCTGTTCTGATGGCAAGTTGTGGTTGTAGCATTTTGTGGTTGTAACTTGTGATGGTAAGTTGTTGTGATTACAAGAAGTTGTGAGTGTATCTAGTTGTAACCCTGTTGCACTGCCCATAATCCTGGCTGTGGTACTATTATTTGCTCCCGTCTGGCAGGAACTGTGTGCTTTTCATAGGGGAGCAGTGTCCTCTCCTAACAAAAGGATACCATAGTCAAATCTGTCCTTCAAAACACCTTTCCAGAGAGTGTCATCTTGAGTAAAAAGCTCTAAAGACCTCTAAATGAAACTTGCAGATGTCAAGAGAACATGGAACATTTAAAGGGCAAACCCAGGAAATAAGCCGATTACTCCTGGGTGAGAAATGGTATTTCCAGATGGGGAGATGAGGGCAGTAGTAGTGTATGTATACACTCACATGAATAGAAGTCTGAATGACATGTCAGGGGATTTCCGCATTAAAAGTAAATGCTTTTGAGGGAAAAATATGGCGGAGGAGTGAATGGAAATCACACAGACCTCCTCCCAAGACCAAAGTGGAATTGTGACTAAATAGTGGAGAAATCACCTGGAAAACAATGAAACGATAGAGGGAGGGAAGGCTTGGAGCTGTGGACAGACAGTGGAATCAACTTTCACACATCTGAACCGATGAGAAGTGTGGTGGAGGCTTGAGAGGGCGGGCTGGGAGCCCACGGGCACCAGCACCAGAGGGACATTGAAACAGCCAGTTGGATCCCCCTGAGAAGAACAGGGTCTGAATTCATAAACAGGGGCCCCTAGACTACAACAGCTCAAACCAGGAAAACACACAGACAAAACGCAACCCTGAAAATCTTAGGGGCGCTCTCTGCCAGAGACAGGTGGCTGGGGATGCAAAGAGGCATTTAAAGGGTCAACGCAAAAATTTGCAGTGGCAGCCACCCTCCTTGATCTCTAGGTAGAGGGGGCAGCAGGGTGGGCTGGTGCCTGGGAAAAGACTGGTGAGGAAAACTTTGTGAAGAGAAGTGACACAGCGGCCGGTGGAGCCCGGGTGATAACGCACCTCCCACTCTGCAGCTACGATCTCGCTCAGGCATAAGGGAATCAGTTAACCTGCCTTTTGCACGTTCCGCACACAGCTTGTGTGCATGTGAGCTGGGGGCTGAGTGCAGACTGGCTGGAAGAAATAGAGGTTCCCTGGCCAAAGCAGACACACAGCTGCATAGAGACCCTTGAGGAGAGACTGGAGATGGAGGGGATGGGGAAAGAACGGGAGGAGGAACCGGGGAGTCCCGACTCCCTCCCCGTTCTGTAGTCTCCATTGTTCAGGGGCAGGCCATGCCCCGAAAGAGCCAAAAGCTGAAAAGCACACAATGGACAGCCCAAAACCACCCAGTGCAGGCTCGCACACACATACGCGAGCGACGGCGAGGGTTGGCGAGGGCGTGTGCAGACCTGCGACCGCGCAGGCCAGCGTCCACAGGGTCTGTGAGGAAGCGCACAGACCGGCAAGGGCACAAGTGAACCGACGCCCGCACCGCGGGCTAGGGCTCAGGCTGGCCGGCGCCCGCGTGGGCCTGTGAGTGCAGAGCAGTCCGCAGAAATAGTGGATCCCTGGCCGAAGGCGTCACAGAGCTTCCCAGAGACCCCCGAGGAGAGACTGAAGATAGAGGCGTTGGGGAGTCCCGGTGATAACTCTTCCCTACTCCACGATCTCCATCTTGCTCAGGCGGACTATTCCCCTGAGTGACAGCAGCTTATAAGGTGATGATAGTCCCACCATCAGGAGGCACTGCTCCGCCCTGTGGTGCCTAAGCCTGACAGATGAGGACAGAGTGAACAGATGGACAATCACAGGAGACAGGCACAGAGAGTGGATTCCTGGAAGGCTCAAACAAATGACTGAAGTTCAGATAGGGTCAACAACTGACACCATCAGAGGCAGATCCAGAAAGAAAAGTAAAGAAAAAACAAATAAATAAAAAGACCTGCCTACTACCATGGAAATTTAATCCACAAAGTCAGGAAGTCTAGATGGATCAATTGAAACAGAAGCAAAAAATACATACATACATACATACATACATACATACATATATAAATAAATAAATAAAATAGACTCTCACAAAAATGGGAATAAAAAGAAGTTCCCCCCAAATGAGGGGAAAGGAGGAATCCACACAGAGGGAGCTAAATGAAATAGAGGCAAGGAAACTATCAGATATTGTTTTCAAAACAGTGGCTCTAAGGAAATGCAATTAGCTCAGCCAGCTCAAAGACAACTATGAGAAACTGCAGAGAAACTATTAGGATCTTAGAGCAAACTATATCAACCTGGAAAAGGATATAGAAACTATCAAGAAGACACAAGAGGATATGAAGAATACCATCTCTGAACTGAAGAACACAGTAGAAGGAATCAAAAGCAGGCTAAATGAAGCCAAGGATTGAATCACCAAGATGGAGGATAAGGTAGAAAAAAGCTCCCAGAAAGAACAAGAAATGGAAAAAAGTCTCAAAAAGAATGACGAGGAATTTAGGGAATTGTAGGACCACCTGAAATGCAATAATATTCACATAAAAGGGATACCACAAGGTAGAAGAGGAGCAAGGGACAGAGAACCTCTTTGAAAAAGTAATGATGGAAAATTTCCGAATTTGAGGAGAGAAAAGGTCTCATGGATTCAGGAGGCACAGAGTGCCCCATTCAAGAGGGGCCCCGTGAGGCCCACTCAAAGACACATCATCATGAAAATGGCAAATATAAAAGGCAAAGAGAGAATCGTAAAGGTAGAAAGGGAGAAACAGGGAGTAACATACAAGGAAGCCCCGATACGGTTAGCAGCTGACTTCTCAACAGAAACACTAAAAGCCAGAAGGGAGTGGCAACAAATATTCCAATTTATGAAAAATCATAAGGCTGCTCTACCCAGCAAGGCTCTCAATTAAAATAGAAGGGGAAATAAGGAGTTTCCCAGACAAAGGGAGGCTAAAAGAATACGCCAGCACTCCAAGATATGCTAAAGGGACTGGTTTAAGAAGATGAAGAAAAAGAATGAGAAAAAGAAAAACACAGCTACAAAAGGGAAAAACGAAAAGATTTCTATCAGTAATAACTCTCTATGTAAATGGACTAAATGCCCCAATCAAAAGACACAAGATAGCTGAATGGATAAGACAACATGACCCACACATATGCTGCCTACAACAGACCCACCTCAGAACAAAAGACCTACACAGATTGAAAGTAAAGAGATGGAAAAAAATATTCCAAGCAAATGGGCAATAGAAGAAATCAGCGATAGCAATACTCATATCAGACAAAATAGATTTCAAAACAAAGGCCATAAAAAGAGACCCAGAGGGACACTTTATAATACTCAAAGGAAGAATCCATCAAGAAAACATAAACATTGTAAACTTATATGCATCCGACATAGGAGCACCCAAATATATAAGGAAAATCTTTTTTTTCTTTTCTAGTAACATTTATTATTTAATTTTTTTTAATTTTATTTTAATTTATTTTTTCAAATACATTTGTCTCTGCCTCCCCCCCCACCACTTTCCCTTGAATGACTTCAGAAAAGATATAGACAGCAACACACTGATAGTAGGGGATTTTAACACCCCACTGTCAAAAAAGGACAGATCTTCCAAATAAAACATCAACAAGGATATTGTGGAGCTGAATGACGCACTGAATCACATGGACATAAATGACATATATAGAACCTTACATCCCAAAGAAGCAAAATACACATTCTTTTCAAATGCACATGGAAGTTTTTTAAAAATAGACCACACGATAGGACACAAAGCAAGCCTCAGCAAATTCAGGAAAATGGAAATAATACCAAACTTTTTCTCAGACCACAAGAGCTTGAAGCTGAAAATCAACCTCAAAGAGAAACTTCAAAAACTTGCAAACTCATGGAGACTGAACT